GTCTTATTTGTTTGTTAAATATAATTACGATTGTACAGCTTATGAGAATGAATCGTCGAAAAGAACTTCTTTTTCGCTGTTTACGTCCTCCTTTATGACATTTACCATCTGATGATAATAGATGGTTGGAGGCAATCGGCAGGAAGCCTTGGACCTAGGTTTCATCCTGGTTGGCACTCGTCAACAGGCCGTTTCTGTAACCTTGAAGGAATTCATCTCCCTTCTGAGATTCGAACCCATGCCCTGCTGACGAGTGCCAACAACACATCAAAACCTAGGTCCAAGGCTTCCTGCCGATTGCCTCCAACCATCTAATATCATCAAATCAATGTGCATCGTGATGGCGAGCTACCTAGAATGGTGGTCACATTGCCAACGTGACTGACAGAATTCAACCTGCACCAAAGAAAGGACTAGACACATCACACTAGCTTCTAGTGTCCAATAAAAGTACAGATAACATGGCTAGATAAGACAACAATTTTATGCATGTTTCTTTCTGTGCATACTTTCTTTTTTTTTCTCCTATTCTGACCACCTTTGTCTCTGCTGTACGCAGTTTGATTCCAATTCAAACATTTTAACACATAGTGCAGTATTCGGTTAAAAAGTGCTTTTATGTGGACATTGGTGAAATTTTTCCAAATATTTTTTTTTTCATTACAGCCTGATTCCACACCGTATTTTTTGGTACAGGTATGGAATTTTCAGCATGTGATATCGGTAGCCCAAATGTTGCAGGTCGACCATAGATATCAGTTGTGCGTCTGAAGCGGATCGAACCCCGGGCCATGTGCATGGTCGGCAAGAGTCCTAACCACTGTGCCACCGACGCACCTCTATTTCGAGAAAGAAGGCCGATAGTTATATAGTTGATGAAAGATTATACCGTCAAAAAAACAATTTCGGTACAGTGGTAGAGTATAACTCCATAACAGAAAAAATTTTATTTAAATAAAAACACACAGAGTGACAAAGTGTTGATCATTGCATAGTATTCAGAGCACAATTTATTGCCCATAATCATATCAGTGTTCTCATATAACTTTCAAACTTTAATTGTATAGCTCCACTATTTTTCACCCTTTGATTTTATTGGTAATTACTTTTTTCCATAACTCTGGTGTCGGCCTAGCATCATTCCGAGTGCATGTGTTAGGTGTAGATTCGATGGGAAAGGATTTACTGATCAACCTCTCACTCCCCCTAACCACATTACTTTTGAGAACCATAGCTGTATCTAAATCTATTATGCGACTGTAAGTGGATGCACTGCAATTGCTGAGTATTTTTCTGAGTTGATCATCTTTTGGACATTTAGCTAAATTGTTGTTTCCATAACCTAACTAGTTCCGATCTACTGGTCTGACATATGTAGTTGACCACAATGTTATTGCAAGGCATCTTGTAGATAACATTATTCTGTCCAATTGGATCAATAGGGGCCCTTACCCTACTGAGTTTGTCCCTGAGTGAGTTGGTAGATTTAAATACTAAATACATAAATCAATCCAGTAAATCGGGATCAGTTAGGTTCTCAGAATATAACAATTACGCTAAGTGTAGAATGATTAACCCCCAAAATGACGACCAACTCAGAAAAATATTCAGTAATTGTAACGCATGCAATTATGCACAATCACACAATGGAGTTGAAAAGAGCTACAGTCCTAAAAAGTTAGGCGAGGGAAGCGACAGATTGTTAAATGCTTGTTCATTTATTCTACACCTGACATCCACAATAGGGATGATGCATCACAGATGCCAGAAATACGGAAAATATTACTACCAATAAAATCTAACGGGTGTGAAATAATGAAGCTATATAATTAAAGTTTAAAAGTTATGTGAGAACATTGATATGATTATGAGCAATAAATTGTGCTCTGAATGTTATCCAGTTATTAACACTATATCAGTGTGTGCAGTGAAATAAAATTATTTCATTATGAGAGATAATACTGACTGGAAAGTGACCAATGATTTTAACAATACGACAAATGATCAGTGGATGTGTGAAGGATAAACTGCGCACTGGGCCACTTCAATGTATGTTATTAAATTCACTTGCTCCTATGGCCACACAAAGTGAACACTTTCCAAACGCACCTCTGAACATCATCCAGCATAGTTAGCAAAAGGACAATGAAAGAGTTACTAGTTCAATTCTCGAGCACTAGGTAAACTCAAGTCACGCAGCTCTACCAGAATCGTATTTCAAGATTATCTACAAGTTGAAGCCAAATAATACAGAGGGCGTTAGGTTTCAGCATTTGGTGTATGGCGTAGGCATCGGCGATTCGTCAATACAACCACGAACTCTGTATACAGAAAAGGTTTGCCAGTCTCTTATTGTACCATGGTCTTAGTCACTTCATAAGTCGTTCCCGGTAATTTTTTATGATTACTTTGCTTTTACTCAAATAACTAATTCACTATTATCACTCTCAGATGTTACTTCTGTATGTCTTCTCACCATCTTCACATTTGTTAAGTGGACACTAAACTACCTTCCTTCTCACTCAATAATAATTTTAACCTTATCACATTTCTAATGCTTTCTTCCTTTGTGCCGCTGATTACTGCATAATTCGCAACTTCTATTTTTACTTTTGAAGCCACTTCTGAGGTATTATATCAATTATGTCATCCCCCCCCCCCGCGGTACTACTCAATAATGGACTACTATATATTTCTTTTGGTAAATATAAACACAACTGTATAGCCTCTGAAGATGATTTCGTCGACTGAGAAAATTTTCCTCGCAGAATTATCTTTTATTTTTTAAATGACTCAGTATGTATGATTAGGAATATGTTGTCCGTGAATGAAATTGTGGCTGAAGCTCTTCAAAACAGCTTAGGCCTTCTCCTCCCGAAAACTTTTGGCGCGCATCTCCTCCCAACTTTGTTTGCATGAAATAAGAGATCGCCTGTAGACTGACTAATTGAGTTCCGACTTAGAACTTTGCACTGCGGTTCAAACTGCCACACTTCACTGTATATAGTTTTCAGTGTGAAACAAGGAAAATAATTAGGTGGGAAATGAAATTTGATGCAACAACCAACAGAAACTGGTGGCAAATTCTTCAGCTATTATATATGCCACCAACTGTGTGTTCTTATGTATCACGTTACTTTCCGCAGGTAAAAAACTAACAAAATCTTCCCTTTTGACTAAATGTGCGTTTTACACATTTCCATTAGTTACAAATTAAATAAAATATCATCTCCCTACATCACTCTACTAATGACAATTTATCAGTAGTCTACATTTACCGATAAAATTAATCTTAAATTATAATAGTATTACCGAATCATGAGTGGAGATTGACTCACTGGTTCAGGCACTCAACATTTAGTCAGTATGTCCCGAAGTCAAATACCACTCCCCTTACTTCGACTTGATTAGCATCACCAGCCTTAACACAACAAGTGTGGCTTATAACCTGGGTCATGAAAGACCTCTCCAGTGAACTGAGTACTGATTATTATCTCCTTTGTAGTACATACACCACGTTGAATTAAACCAATAGATCCACGGTTCCAAGCCTGCCCCAAATACCTTGACCTGGTCTGAAGAACTGAGTAGTACCATCAGCTACTATAAAATAGGTGAACCTCGTACCCTAATTTATCGGATATCCGTTCTGAGTAACTGATTCCTAACCAACTAGCAAAATCCATAACCTATAAAAACAAAAAAGGAGATTCTGGTTTCTAAAAACAGTTAACAACCTGTCTGACTCATCTTACCACAGTGGACAACAGCTTAGAAATATTTCTGATGCAAAACAATCATCTGTTGTCTTTCTATGTTTCAGGGAAGACAGATACTTCTAGACTTCTCTAGTAATTTCATGAATTCAAGCAGCAAATGCAGTGGCATACTTTTAAACCATGAAAACTGCTACACATAGCTGAAATTGAACTCACATTCGCTGAATTTATTTAATACTTGCCTTGTACACCTAATTCCAATAAAACATCACTTGGACATCTCGTCTCTAGTTCTGATGACATATTCACACATGTCAATTTCACCATCCATAATAGCTTGACAACATTAAAAAGCTTAGTGCATTTGAGTTTAGGTTGCTTTTATTTTTCAGTCTTCGGTGAAATATAACCATGACTGTCTGTCCATCATCAACATATACTTATGACGTCATATAGATTTTTCATATTTAGTTAACTTTAACGCATACTAAATAAGTCAAAAGATCATTTCAGGATAAATACCAATGATATTAAGTATAAACTTGATTTTCCACCATCTGGTATACGCGCTAATAAACGAGAAGATAGAAGCGTACTCAAACGACTCAAGAACACCGTTCAAGTGAAGAGCTCTTAAAATATAGAACTTAATACCTACTCATTTAGACAATGATTAATAAAAATACAAGTTTCTAAAGTACTCGATGTAAATACGCCATGCTACAACAGTGAATAGATAGTCTATAAAATTAACATATATATTGTGTGAAGATTGGTTATACTACTTAGATGCTAATAACTTCATGGACTCGGGGTTCCTAACTCTCTGTCCACTCAAGCACTAAAGCCTCTAAGTAACTCTCTCTATAAGTCTATGAAGTATAAATATTCTAGAACTATACACTTAAAAAACTGTTAAATATGTCACCTTTATGCCATTTATCTTCCTTCAGCCGTCTGTAGATCTTTTAGTCAATTTATCAACCTTTCATTGCAGTGCACTTACTTACTTGAATATTTGTCTCTTAATATCCACTTTCTGTGTGCGATGAAGTATGATAAACATGAAACATAGCAGTATTATGCAGGGAGTTTTGGGACAACGTGATTAACCAAGGGGCCAGTGACTTGGTATCAGTACGTTTAAGTTTTCATAGTCTCTTCGTAGTTTATTGATTGACGAAGAATCCCAACAATGTTTACAGCGTGTTTAATGTTGCCTATTTTTTATATGTACATTGCATTTCGAATAGCAATCGAACAATGAAAATGGCGCTTAGGCACAAAACAAACCACACTTTATTCGAGAGAAAAAAAAGAAAGCAAGAAAGAACAAAGGAAATCAGTGAAAACATATATAACAATTGTAACCGGAAATGCAGTCTTTTTTAACAAAATAAACAAGGGTATAAAAGACAACCTTGTGCTGCAATTTACTGTGCAACAGATACTGATGATGCTGATGATGATGTAGCTGTGGTTACTGAGGCAACTGTGGAAGATGATACTGCTAAAGATGCAGATAAGTTCATATCAACTCCTTTTGGAACAACAACTGGTGCAAGAACAGAAGAAGTAACACCTGCTGGAGCAGTATAGTAGTAGGCTGCATATGGATCTGTTGCACCTGAAGTTGATGTATCCGACTGGTGAAAAAAAGCACAAAAACGAAAAATAACTTTTTTTTTAATGTGACAGAAATTATTCAAAATCTAACAAGAAAGTTAATGATATTAAAATTTAGCAAGACTCTAACACAATATAAATTGTATAACATACTCCAATAAAAATGGTATCGAAAGAATTTCCTATGAAGAAATGAATCATTTTTTTTATAACTCACCATGCCAGGAAGAATTGCAACTGAAGGTGTCATAACAGGTATACCAGTAGGAATTGCAGGTGGGAGTCCAGATGTATTACCAAGAGCAGCAGCAAGTGGTTCATAAGCTCCAGCTGTATAATAACCAGCAGCTGTAGATGGATCAGGTGCTGGTGTACCAACTGAAGCAGCTGCTTCCAATGCAGCCTGATCGGTGTTCAAACATGGTGTACGGCTAACAGGAGTAGCAGAAACTAACATTTCACATGGATTGGCACCAATCACAGCATTTACTCTAAGAGAGGTTGTTGGCAAATTGAGAAGATCTGGCAACTGATAACCAGTCATTAGACGACTAGATCCACGAGCAACAGCTGAAGCAGTAACACCAGTATTGACAGCTTCACAAAGAGTTATATATTCCTCATATGTAGCATTAAGCCTAAAAATAATTATAAATATACACATTAACATAACAGACTGTTTATTCAGTTATTTTTAAATCAAATTTTCAGAACACGATTAGAGCATTTTATTTCTCTCTATTTACCTTTGTAATGTACCGCTCAGAGTATTTACTAGATTGATTAAACATTCAAGCAAGTTCACCTTTAGTTATATAGGGTCAGAATATCTACATTCTAAGCGACGCCACTTTATGGACACTAGTACACAAGCTTCCCTATTTTCTTCCTTATAATTTACATTCTGCTTAGTCTATTCTCTGGCTCAAAAGTGAATTTGATCCCACGCACTACAGAGTTTACATGTAGGAAGGAACTTGGAATGTTTTTTTCCGGTTACAACCCAGTGAAAGTGTGATGCACGTGTCTCCAAAGTCGCTTTGAGTGTTTGAAGAGTCATAACATGCCATCCAAATATTCAAAAACATACTGACCAAAACTTGGCATAATAGTGATCCCATTGTTACCTCTCCTAAACGAATGACTTATCAATATAAAACTTGCACAGAAGTGCGAAATTCCAAGTTGTTCAAATTCAAAAAATCATACGTAAGAGTAGACAGAGAAAATGTAATGAAGCAATAATGAACGAAGATTTATAAGACAATTATGAGCCACTTTCATTCTAATTGACATTGTTATTATTGTCGTTATTCCCTTGGATTCCAACAGGAATACAAGACTCCAAAAGCAAATCTCCATTTCACCCTGTTCTACGGAGTCTTTTATAGCTGGTACAACGATTGAACATAAACCTTCATCTTATGCGATCTCCTCCGTGTCAACCCAGGGCACCCAACTCGTCATTTCCCACTTGAGTTTCACTCGAGAGCCTGGCGCATGATGCCACCCAACGGTCTCCTAAGAGTATGTTCAGTCGACCTTCATTTTTATCAGAATATTTGTTGGGCAATAGGTTCTTGATCGCTTAGTACCCAGAGTTCCTTATTGCTAATCCTTTCTGGACATTTAAACTTCAGTATCGAGAGGTTAGCCGCAGAGTGTTCAAAATGCTTTTGGAGACACGCCAAGTCCCTAAATACTGATTGATTTGACATCAGCGTTAAAAATCCCAATACTGTTCTTTATACTGTGAGCAGTAGATTTCCACATTGATTTCAGATTAATGAGGGCCTGTCTTCCTTTATCGATCCTCTTTCTGACATCACCATCCGTATCACCTTTGACCTTTTTACTCAGCGCTAGGGTACGTTGAAGTAGATAGAGTATAGACGGAAGTTGTAGCCGAACATGCTCTTCTTCCAACACCAAAGTTGCACCACTAATTTATCCTTTGTAGACAAGTCACTAGTATATGTTTTCTGTTAGAGAACATTTCCAAAATACCACGAATGACTATCATGATTATTGTCAAACATAATGTATGTGAATCTAATAGTCTAAAACCAGATTAAACGCCTAATACGACAAAAAAACTTTTAACAAATGAATAATATATATTTTTAGAAAATAAAACTATAAAACGTGTTTTTTTTTTAACCGAAAATACAACTCACCTGGATAAGTCTGTATCGAATTCTTCTAAAAACTGTAACTTCCGTTGACAGAAAGCTAATTTAATATGTGCTGGTAAAACTGAATCAATTGTGGCCAGGTTACAGGCTTCAATAAAACCTTCAATATCGGCTGGCCTACGCTGATATATAATATCGAGTAATTGAGTATATAATCGCTCATTACGCTATTTTAAAAAAAAAAAAAAAATTAAATCAACACTGAAATAACAATGAATGAAATGAAATGTTGTTCAACAACCATTCGCAATTCCATACAGTTGGCAGTAAGACCAGGTTGACACTATCTGGCTGCCTACATCTTGTAGGTGGGGCGGGATTCCAACACTGTGACCAATTGGTTGGAAGTTTGGTGTCTAGACTAATGAGTTGCAGCCGCACACAGTGAAAAAGAGGTTATTATCAAACATCCTTGATGCAGACAAGGTTCATATTTTAAATTAAAAATAGTACTGCACTACTGTTATACTTTCTTATATAGTAGTAGTAATAGTATTCACAATTCTGATTTCCTGTTCTTGTCACAGATCATGACAATTTGAATAGCTAAGCTCTTTCGTGATAAATTCTGTTTACTTGCATTTATTTACAACACAAACTGAGAAATAGTTAACAAGAATAAAAGTACGGCTACTGCTGCATGAAGACTGCTACAACATAAACACTAGTCAAATTAGTGTTAATCAATTAACAATGTATTTTATGGACGCATTAACGTTTCGTATGCACAACCCTAATTGGCAAGAACTACCTAAACACGAAATCCGACTTTTAATACTGAATCAAAGAGTATTATTTTAAACTTACCAAGCATTTAAACAACTTGACAATATGACGAAAATAGCTTGAAGTCATGTAGCTCTCCCTTAATACCCAAATGATAGGTGCCACAAAGACTTAGTGGAGTGGTTCGCACATCACAACGTCCCAAAAAACCTTTGCTAGTTGGAACAATTGTTCCCATAAACCGTACTATTTCGGATGAAAAGTACTTGCCATCATAGCTTAAGTTGCTTACACTATCATGAGGACTTGATGGTGAAGTCATACCGCTGGCAGGGGACTGTGACAGCACTATGGTATTTCCTTCGGGAAAGCAGCAAACTAGCTGTATTGTCATACAGTCAAGTGAAGGCATTATAAAAAAAGCCCAAAAAATTGCACGTTTTGACTCATCTTATATAAGTTTAAAGACGGCAACAAGATACTCAGTACGTATGAAACTTCACAGACTTCACCTCAAATAAGTTATACATGACCGAACTTATATGGTTATCTCATGGGCCGCTCTTCAGTCACACAACAATACATCCTGACTTTTAGGTATTCATAAAAGTGAGTAACATCCACAGTATGAGTGACTTGGAATTACCGGCCGCCTAACGCCTCCATGAGCATGCAAAGTCCTGTTTTCCTTAAATTCTTAAAGTTGTTTAATAGTGATGAATGAAGCATAAAATCAAATATCATTAGGAGTAGAAAGGTAAATAAGTTTATCAGGAAATTCTATTCACACAAGCCGAAAAATCCCTTGACGATAGAATATTTCACAGATCTTCAGATTAGAACACGTATTTAGGGACGATTACATTTTTAGACTGGTGTCTTAAACAAAAGTATTTTTCAGATTACTTAAACATAATTACAGAAACAATATCTATTATAACTGATAATACAACTTACTGGATCATACTCAATGGCCTCTTTAAGGACTCTGATGGCTGCTTCTTCACCAGAGATAACTACAAGATCTTCATCCGTGAGTTCTGATGGTAAAGGAGCACGAATTTCAATTACTTTGTGTCGCTTGTTCAGGAGGGCACGTATACGTTCTTCTTCTTCAGCTGCTTGATCAACCTCGGGAGATGCTTTGGACTCATCTTCAGATCCATTTCCTTCATTAACTTCACCTTCTCCATCACCATTGCCATCTCTGGAACCCTTATCCTCTAACTTTGCTCGCTTACTAGAACCATGTTTTCTTTTTGACTTCTTGCCTTCTCTGTGTTTACGCTTATGATGTTTCTTTTTCTTTTGTGAACAAGGTACAACTAAGATTGGTGGAGAACCAGATTCGTCCAACTCATCCTCATTCGTATAGTCATCTTTATTAGTTGTGTTATTTTTCGCAGGCTTTTGTGAGGCCTCTTCATCTGTTTCCTCATCCATCGTTACATCGTTATCTGATGATGCAGCTTCAATTTCAGAATCAGTCTCGTGATCACTGCCCACAGCTTCCGTCTCTGTGGTTTCATCTACATCATCCTCCCCTTCATTATCACCATCATCACCATCCATTTTAACTGCTTCTGGGGAGTTCTCCTCTTTACTCGGCTTATCTGTGCCATTAGTAGTACTTTCTGGTTCTTCTTGTTTTTCATTATTCTTTGTTTCTTCGGTCTTTGGCATATCCATAAGCGCAGGTTCATCTTCATCTTCTTCATACTTTGTACCGAGTAACAGCATCCATACAGGTATTCCCTCGGAGCACAATAGTTCATTTCGATGAAACAATCGAGCTAGACGACCAGCAAGTACACCTGCCCCAGCACGAGCTTGTGATGCTGTGGCTATCGCCTGTGCAACCGTACGAGAAGCAGTAGCTCCAGAAACACATTGTGCAACTTTATTTTGTTCTTGAACTAGGTATCGAAGACGATTAATACCATTGCGAAGACAAGCAACGACATCGAATAGCTGAGGGAAAAAAAGTAGGGATAGATTAAAAATGTGCACTCTCATTATTATCATAAAATATTTCAAAAAGTGACATTCGAACACACTTAACGAGCATTCACCGAAAATTAATTCATTTTGAAAATGAATTTCAGTCTAAAGTAACCTGCCTATTTGAAGTAGCGATGAGACTGAGAAATAATGGATAATCAGTTGGTGTATAACGTTAGAGATATTATTTTTAACCTGATCTGAACTCAAATTACTCTCAAACTTTAATCGCGTTTGTGATACACAGAATATTACCACAACATGGAACCTATTACTATACAACAATAGTGCAAGCCACCACCCATTACAGTTGCACGTCGAGTAAAAAGTAAAGTGCCCAGTGCGTCTGTATTATTATAATACATTTTCAATCGTATCAGCAACAGTTTGCAGTTGTCGATTTCGGACAGCATTTCATGATTACGTTGAGATCAACAGTCAATGACATAATCCTTAGTGACTCTTAATTACAAAACGTTTTATGGTATCCCTTTTCAGAATCTTAGATCAAGTGAAGATAGTGATACAAAAAACCTTGATACATGCTGAATTAGACATTTTAAATGCGCACAAAGTATTCCCCCATTTCAAGCACTGCCACTTGAAAGTCTGGTACACATAATACTGCGAAGGTATGTTTAATCGTATCACTATTTGATTTCTGATGTTTAAAATGGAGGTTAGTTTCTACAACCAACATGAACTGCAATTTACTTCATAATTTTCAACTAACCAGAAAATGAATACGAATCTATTTGGTAATCATTTATTACGTAGAATGTTTTCTAACAATCTACACCAGATAGACAGTGAAGAATGTGACACTGTAATATGCATTCCATGATACTATCTTAACGACAGCACAGTTATCAAACAGAAATGAATTTAGTAAAACAAAAGTGGAGAGATCATAAAATGTAGTTTAAAACTTACAGGTTTACCCGCCCTTCGTAAAGCATCCGCTCTCCTACAGCATACAAGAGCACTATCAGTTAAACGTTTCTCCAAATCAGTTAGTATATCTAGGCAAGTGAGTACTTCAAATTTAGGAGGATTATCCAAACTGGCAGGATGTCTATCCTCAAAGCAACCCCAATGCCAATGAATTGTTGGTTTATATGGTAAGTGAGTATTGCATGCACGTCTCCAAACTTCACGTGCAGCAGGTATATCTCTTTCAATGTACTACAAAAAAAAGTTGAAATAAACATAATTACTAAACCATCCATATGAGTATATATATTAGGACTCAAGTAATACCTGCCATATGATAATATACAACACAAACATTTTTACAACATTCATTGAAATGAGATATGAACTGGGGATGCAATGCAGTTTCTTAGTTATGATAAACCTAAAGTAATGATTAGATTATTGGAGAGAAATGAACACAAATACGAATCTACTTTTCTAGAAGATTTAAACCAGAGAGTGGAAACAGTAGGTGGCATTTTCAAATACCTTACGGCGTTAATCATTTTTCCAATTGCAAATATATTTGAATGGTTGTTTACACACACACACACACACACAACGATAAGTTTTGGCTTAGGTAACATTTCGTAAACAATTACTGACCATAATCACACCAACAAAGATAATTGTTCCACAATACACAAACTTCCCAATGACATTAATATATCAGACATACATACTCTTAAGCTAAAACGTTGGTATCTCTTACGATTATATCATTGATGTGAATACCGAAACATAAGAATTACTACTTGAAGTAATTCAGAAATTGTAGTTAGAAAGTTTTAGTATTGTTCACTATATAACTATGGAAGCAACGTTGTCGTTTACAGTACCTAACAAAAAACTAACTAAGTAGGTTGCCATTAATGTATCAGGATCTCAAGTGTTCACACTCAAGTAATGAGTTTGAAATACTAAATGCCAATTACCTTTCCAATCATACAGAGAATCGTGTCCTCCAACTCTAAATTCCGTTGCATCTGTTTTGGTGTTAAAATATAGTATATATATATATGTATATATATATATATATATATATATATATATACATTAGGCTCATAGACCAAGCGCAGGTTTAGTTACGAGACGACAAAATGAAACTTTAACTGTTCATCCGAACACGAGTCTTGAAGTGTACAAAAGCCAGGAAATGAGTTACCTTGGAATACCATAACTATAAAAAGCACTTGCGATGAGGCCACTTAGCTGACGACAGGACTCGTTCTTAATTCTATTCAGGCTGGCTAACAGACTCAATTTACAACACACTTCAAAACAGTACACATAAAGGTAGAGAAAGGGAAGGCACAAAAATCTTAAATGATAAAGTGATGACAAAATCGAATCAAGGGACAACACACAATATAAGCTCCGCAATTTAAAATACATTCGATAAACTTTGACATTTTAAAGGTAAGATGGTGAGTATATAAAGGATTTGAGAGAAAAAGAACAAAATAATACCTCTAGATATTTTGCATAACGTATCCAAAAGTGTTCGTATAGAGCACAAGCAACAAGACATCTTTCATAAAGAATACGAACACGACGTTTAGCAAGTTTTACTTCAGGTGACTGAGATACAGCTTCCTCTAATTCATCACCAGACAACTGATGCGTTAATTTTATTTGCTCGCTTATGTGAGATATTACAGTTGCTGCTTCTGCCTCCTCAAAGCTTATATATTCTGCCCAATTGTTCAGTTGTACTTCTTCAAGGGGTTTTACATGAAAATATGGACGACGAATCTGAACAAAGGTAAAAAAAACAGCCACAGTGATTTAAATATAAAAAATAAAAACAGTAACACATTCACAATAGCCCAATCAAATAAACATAGATATGCATGAAATAACCAACAAAGAGCACAAGTGAGAGACAAAATTCTCTGATGTGATATATACGCATCGGGAACTTAGATTTACTTATTACTCAAAAAACCACTTGCAACTATACGCAATTGGGAATCAGCCACAACTATTGTGTGAAGGTTAATGGTAGTCTGGCTACCTGAACCTCGGTAGGTAAAGAAAGGTTCGAACTTGTATCGGACTGGTTAGAAGTTCAAAGCTCCGAGCCACAGCTCCACTACTAAATGGAATGCACTAAATCACCAGTCATGAAAAGTTTAATTCGGTCAGCATTTGGCAATTTTCTACCACGATAGTTAGAAACGATGCAACATCTAAAGCCTAAAACACTTGATTCAAAGCTCATTTACACCACTAACTGACTGATTTCAACGTAGAACTTTACACAGATATGCAGCAGTTCGAGTTGCCACACTCCCTCCTTGTAGCCCACAAAGCAAGAGAAAAGAGTAAAAAGAGATTCAGAAGAGAGATAATAAAGAGAAATGTGAGGCAAAAAGAATAGTAATATGGAAAAACAACAGAATTTTATTGGATATTATGAATCAAAAGAAGTAAATGCATCTGTGCCAGCCATTGAGAACGATTTTGAGCCATATCATCGATTGTCTCCAGACACTGGTTTTGACCATCCCGAGGACCCCAAGCAGGAAGTCTACACATTCCTACGTGGCTTAAACTAACCGTCGTGGATTTCATTGACTGATTCCTAGTTTTGGTTTGACCACCTAACTCTGTTCCAACCTGATCCTAAGTCAGCTAATATTGTCCGTCGAGGAAGGCGGTCGATTGCTAGTGGTGCATGCGTAACTCATGTCCTAATCATCTCAATCGATGCAACTCCACAACCTCGTCGACTGATTTCTCCTCCTTACCTAACACTCAACCGATGCCTAAACTCAATATTGCTCACCTTATTATAACATTTAACACGGGAAACAGAACACAGATACTTATGATCAAAGGCCTTTTCATGTCTCACTTTCAATGGCCATGTCTTACAGTCATAAAGGAGGACGCAGCGTACTAATGAGATTTCATCAGTGATTAACCCATTGGAGCAGATGCAGCTCCCCAAATAAGTGAAGTGGTCAACACGCTCTACCACTTTACTCCCTATTTCTAAGCTAGGAGTCAATGCAGTCCACCCCAGTAGCATCATCTTACATTTAACTATGACAAATCGTATGCCAAACATCCGAAGATTACTGCTCGAGATGTTTGGAAGACCCTGCATTTTGTCAGCGTCTTCACCCAGAAGGACTATATCATCTGTATATTTTAAGTTAAGGAGATTATTCCCTGGTGGTAATAAGTCAATCCCTGAGTCGCTGAAATGAGTTACGGTTAAGTCCATCAGTATATCTATGATGAAATTAAATAGAAATGGGGATAGTGGGCAAGCCATCCATGATGGACACCACTAGTTGTCACCACTCGAGATGATGATTCGCCGTAAGCTCTCACCTGTCTGCATGAGTTCGAGTAGAGTACCTTGATCAGTGCAATATATTTTCTCGACATTCCCTTTACAGTCAAACATCGCCATAGCACCTCTCGATCGATGGAATCGAATGTCGCCTTTAAGTCAAGAAATATAACGATTGTTGGACTCCACAAAGTATGCCTATGTTCCAGAATCTGTAGAAAGGTGAAGATATGATCAATACACCCTCTTCCAGGTCTGAAGCCTGTCCGGTTCTCTCGTGTTTGTGCCTCCCGAGTACCACTCAGTCTACGTATTATTATTGAGCCTAGGACTTTAGATAGCATATTAGTCAAGTTAATCCCCCTGTGATTACCACAGGAAGACTTGTGTCCCTTCTTGTATATCGGGATAATCAATGACTTACACCAACCCGACGGGACTACCTTTAATTCCCAGACACTGCCTAATACCTTTGTTAACGCACAGTAAACTGTCTCCACCGTACTTGAATACCTCTGGAGTCGTTTCATCAGGTCCTGCTGCTTCGCCTCGTTTCAGACCAGTGACAGCCTTTGTAACCTCAGTCAGGGGCGGAGGACCCATGTATATATCCCATTCAGGGAGGTGTTGGATGTTCGGTAAGTTGGGTGTAGCTGTAGGCCAATTGAACTGCTCCTCAAAGTGTTCTTTCCAACGTTCTAGTCTTCTATCCTAGGAGCAAATTATGGCGCCATTTTTCTCAGAGATTGTTTCATTTGCCTTTTACCACATGTTTCCCTTATAAGCCTAAATAATTGTCTGGTGTTACCAATTGCCAATGCCTTCTCCATCTCTTTCGCTTTTGCCGCCCACCACTGTTCACGGTCGTTACCAAGACTTCTTGTTAGTTTGCATTTGAGCAGCTTTTGCTCCTCACCATATTCGGAACTTGCCGAAATGTCTTTTCGTGTCAATCAGTTCGGATGAGGTGGTAGAAATGCAATGGCTCCTATTAACTTTTGGTTTTAGGCTATTAATAGCTTTTACAGCTGTGTCTACAGCTGTATGTTGTGCCAGGCCTCCTCAGGAGTCTTGCTGTTGACCTCAGATACGCGTTTAGCTATTTTTTCGTAGAATAGGCACTCAGTTTCGTGATCCAGTTGGGAGATTAACTGCTCCGCTGCCAACAGTTTTTTATGTCCGTTCAATCGTAAGCATAAACGTACGCAAACTAGGAAGTGATTGGAGTCTGCGCAGGTGTTCCAGAAGGAGCGACAGTCTTCTACTGATCCTCGCCAACGACACCGTATCACTATATGGTCTATCTGAGTCCAACGTTGATTTTGGTGATAGAGGTCATCAGGTTACACAATGTCTCTTTGTGCCTAAAGTTAGTGCTGACTAAGAACAGGTGATTATTTGAACAGAACTGTAGAAGACGATCACCGTTGCCGGTTCGTCGGCAGGGAACTCCATATATACCACCTACATACTTCTCAGTCTGCTACAACTTCCCTACTTGGGCATTCAGGTCGTCTGCTACAACAACTATGTCTGGACGTTTTGCTTTTTGCGACAAATTAGAGTTTCAGGTAGAAATCATCCTTTAGGTCATCTGAACTGCAGTCAGTTGGAGCGTAAGCGGAGACTACGAAAAGACAACGACGGGTAACGTCGTCCTTCCTCCTTCTAACGGACCCATTCAGATGGACCGGACACATACGACTACCTATTGGGATCCAGTCAAGAAGTGAGTTTTCTGCCCTAACACTTAATGCTATCCCTACACCTGAGAGTCCTCGCGAACTAGCTGAGGGGTCTCCTGACACCCTTAAAGTGAATTTCGCAGATTCACCTTGTTGACCAGGTGAGGTTAGCTAAATGACCACACTCGGGTCTTGTATGCGTGTCTCCGAGACAATATACATCCATGGCTTAGGATGCCAGAGTTCTTGCTAGTGATGTCTGTCGTCCGATTTGGCAGAGGGTCCTGACGTTGAACGTTCCTATATGAAGTTGGCAATGTGGCTTTAAGAGGCTGTCGAGGGTGTTTCTATGGCTCTTATCATTGTTTGTGGTCACAGAGAGAAGTGAAGATGACTCACTAGCCTGAAGAATAGTATTAACAGTAGGCGGAAAACAAGATGATGAGGGTGACAGGGATAAGAAAGGATAGTGATTAGGAGGGCGTCATGTGCTTTTGAAATTGTGTAGGCGGTCGCTACTTCCCGGCTGCCCCCATCGTGTAAGTTGATTGATTCTTCGGGTACCTGGAACAGAAAGAGGGTTAGTGTTGCGTGGCTATAGAGCCCAGGGGACAACTGCTTGAGGCCCGTTGCATACGACCTGTGGGAAACACCTTACTGCTGTAACATTCTTGGTCCTTAGCAGTACGACTTTGCCCACAGACCCCCAGCATAGTGTAAAAAATTCTTACACTATGCCGGTAACTGCTTTTAGTCTAATCGCTATCCTAACAACCTTCCTAGCATGGTAGGACCTGCAGGAACAATAGTTGCAGCCAGTGTAGCTTGTTGGGTCATTGCGATATGCAAGCCCGACCACCACGTCATGGTAGCAGCTATCAGTCAGGCATTTACACCACTAGTCCGTTTCATACACAGCATTTCCTATCTGATCAATTTTACAGTGCATACATTCTGTGAACTTATAGGGTTTTTAAAATGTCTTATAGAGAAATACCACAGTGCAAACTATCAAAATCAATATAAAATATTACGTAGTGAAGCTATAAGTTGATTATAAACTTTAGAATGACAATACATTAAGTAACTGTTATGCATTTAGTGTATACCTTTTCTTCAAAATACCATCGCCGCATAATTTGCATATAAGTTGCCCGATAAATTTGTTCCCGGGAATCAATTATCATTTGTCGTATCGATGATCGAACAGCGTCAGTTATCTAGAAAAAGCGACGATAATTAGATTTATGCTTAAAGTCAACAGGAGTTTCTTCTGAATTTTATGTATGAGTTGAAATATTAGCAAGCTCACATACTCAAATCTTAGCTAAACAATATAATAAAAAGATAAAATCCCATTTTAGCGAAGAAATAAACTTTAACTGCGATTTATCAATAAAACCGGTGCTATACAACTACACCAATAAGAACAAACAAATAGCCCTAATTCTGCAGTCTGCATACTTCTCAGTATGTTTCTGTATCATTTAGATTATTCATGACAAGGGGTAATCCAACTAGAGTTCAGCACTTATTAGTCTATTAGATATGAGAACTATATAAGGCAGGTAATAACATTTGAGAAGCCCCCTCCACAAAATACACATATATATTATACATTAAATATCTATTTTCTATAGTTTTGGTTTGTAAGGATTAGTTATGTTTTACGAGTTGATCACGGACTGATATCAGTCAACTCCACACATGTATATAAATGAAGGAAAAAAGTTGTGTGAGTAACTTGATATGATTATGAGCAATAATTTGTGCTCGAAACGTCATCAGTTAATATTGCTGTGTAACACTGTGTGACTTATCAAAATAAAATCTTATCCATAATGGAGTTATACTCTACCACTGCCCAAGTTTTATACCTATATTTAAATTATACTTTACAAGAAGTATCACATGTCATATACGCCTGTAGGTCATGAATACGGCTGATTGATACCTCTTTCTTTTAATTCGTTAAAGACTCAAATAGGCTATAGACCTTCACAAGCTTTTAAGATTCAGTAGAAGTGTTGTTTTTACACGAAGACTGCTAGGCTTACACATAGTCTCCTCCTCTTTCCGTAGGTGCTCCCGCACAGCAAATTGGGCAAGATTTAAGTGTGTCGTCCAGGAATCGGAAGTGGGTCTTCCGCGTGGCTGGCAAGTTTTCTGCAGCTGAGTCATCAGTGCACCTATTTCCTATTAATACTGTACATATAAGAACGAAATTATCTTCTTAATAAGTTATTGATTATTGTACTCATACCTCAATCATCGGTTTTGCAGAACCCAAAATGGGTGGTTCTAGCTCATCATGGGCTTCTTCTGATTGCTTTCCAAGCGATATAGGCTTGCCGGAAGCCAGTGAAGCCTGAGCAAGCATACTTGCAAATTCATTTTTGGACAAAATGTCTTCAGGGCGATTCTCTTCCACCAACTTGTTGAAGCTGATAACAACAAGAACAATTATTATTATTAACAGAATACACTTGTAAATATGTTGACAATATAAAACGTATATACTAAGGTTTCCAACAAAACAATGGCATAACTGTCCTGCAAACTGAAAGCCTACAAAGATTAAATTATTAGCATGCACATAAACCTCTCCTTTATATTATTTATGCAACCAATCGTCAGAAAACGGATTTCATTTTAAATATGTTCAATGAGTACCAAACATTTTCAGAAATACTTCAGGTGTTGAAAATAGTCAACAGAGTCTATCAGCACTAAGTCATCTATACAACTAATATGTAATAAGGAATAATTATGTATGAAACCAGTCTTTATGTTTAAATAAATAACCAGATACGGTTGTTGCTGTAGATAACACATGAAGAGGCACTACTACACAAAAGAGAATGCATTTAACCACTGCAAACCTTTGGGTTTTAGGAATAACACTTTCAAATTATTATTTGCGTTTTTAAACTTTACAATCCAAGCAGTGAAATGACTGGACATGTTACTCACTTCAAGTATTTGTGAGGCTGTATGAACCGTAACTAACTGGTTGCTGAAGAAACCCTAACATGAATACAAAGGGGTCGTTTGACATTTGGTAACCTGCGTCACCCTCAGCACAGAGGCGACATCCGGATGCTCCTCAAATGACATATATATACTGTACAACACGCATACTGTTGCTGCCATCTGATTATCAGAAAGAATAAGAAAATACCATTCCTAAGGACATATATATACCAATATATATCCCGTCAGTAAATATTTGTGGTACGAAATTAAAGTGATTTGTTCTAAATTAAAAACACTGCAGAAATACTACCAGTCTTGACTTCAGATCACGCTGACTCAATCTCTTCTTTAGGTACTCCAGAGTAAAGCAGCATCCAGCAGTATAGAAACTTTTTACGTCACAAGCCCCTACGTATCTGCACTTGATACGTTTTACAGGTACTATATGACAACGGCGAGTTTCGAAGAGAAATAATGCCCAATATTCAAACCGCTTTTAACAAGAGTAAGTTATTTCATACTTATATCCTTTAGTCGCATATCAGCTGAAATATACTTAATTCCCAGTAAAAATATTTTATAGATTTGTTCTTTTTATGGAAGAAATTTCTGGAAAAATGCAATGTTACTCAGCAAACACAATCATACCAGCGCACTTGGCAATGAATGAAGGTTGATGGCATCACTCAGCTGCCAAACCTCGGTAGATGGAGAAAGTTTCAAGCTTGTGACCCATCGGTCGGAAGTTATGTGCCGAATCTAATGAGCCAGTGTCAAGAAGAATAATCCAACTTGCCATGACAGCATCAAAAATAATTCTCTAAAAGTAGAAATTCAATTAGATGGGAAATAAGTTTTTCAAAATCAATTAACTTTTAGCTAGTCACACTAACCTGTCCCAGTTCTGAAAGTAAAGCTGAGTAGGAATTGACAATAAACGAGCATATATGTTGGCTGCATTAACCAACCGGTTATGCCCACTTTCCCAACTAATATAATGCTCCCACAATGCATCCGAACGAAATTCAAGTCCAGCAGCATCCAAAGCAGATTCATATAGACTGAAATAAAGTATAACCATAGACATTAAAATACAGCTTACGGCACTAGTAAAAATTACGAATCACTGACCACCAGAGCCACCAAAGCGAGTGTTTGGAAAACAAAAAAGTGAATTACTTACCTACGCATTTTATCTTCATAGTCATCATGCGTGTGGTAATATTCAGTGGCAGCATCCAAATAAGCTGTCCACAGGTCCACACTTAAGGGTATAGTTTTTACCCCAAGTTCATAAACCTAGGTAAGAAGAAATCAACAATCAGATTCTTTAATGTCTAAAATACAGATTACATAACACACTAACACTAGTTCCACATACTCTGCTCCGTACACCTAGTGTCTTATGGAATAGGTAGAAGTTCGAATATACTAGATTAATGAAAATACATGAAAATTTTTTAACGATCTCGAAGTAGAATGTAAACCTTATAAGGAACATAGAATATTCCAGTGAGCTGTAGCCTACATAGCGAAACGTTCCGAAGAATCTTGTTTAAATTTTCTAGGAACGCTGTTTTAAGTAGTTTTATAATGAACTGTATTTAGCAGTACAGCATCACTTTATCCGGTGCGTCGGTGGCACAGCGGTCAGGACACTCGCCGACCATGCACATGGTCCGGGGTTCGGTCCCCGGCCGACGCACTCCTTTACCTCGCTAAGCCAGGAATAAGACTGGTAGAGAGGAAAGGTAGGGAATGAGGTTAGCAACCCCATCCTGTAAAAATAAACACTGCTACAGAAAGTTCAAGCCTCTAGCTTGAAGCCCTATGTTCCACTGGGAACGTGAAGGTAAAAAATAAAATAATAATCACTTTATTGAAATCTTCGTTAGGCCCTCCAGTTCTCCTCCTAATACTTATCTCAGACACTAAACGTATGCTAAAACGCATTTCAAGCGATGTATGAAAAAACGTTGTTGAATACTTAAAGCACTTGAATAACGTATACATCCTGAGATTCACAACTCTTAATAGTCGACTTCGACCAGTGAGAGTAATTTAAAGACCATATTCATGACAATAGACTCACCTGCAAACATTTCTCTTTATTTCCTTTATGGCGTTCCATATCCGCGAATTTCTTCCAATATCCATAGCAGTATGGGAAACGTTTGAAAAATGCACCAAATGCTTGTCTGGCATATTCAATATTTTGCTGAAAATCCATATAAGTCGAAAGTACATATATTACCTGTTTCTCAACAAGATCAAGAAGGCTTATCCACACAGAAAACTCTGTAGGATTATCCTGAGCTTTCCTCCACAACTTGTGGTAAGACATCACTCAACGAAATTGAGGGTGGCGCTGAGACGAATATCTTGAATTAGCGCTACACGAAATTAAACACCTAAAGTAAATTTAATAAAAATTGAAGAACTTTCCTTCTTCGGCTCTAATGCTTATAGAGATGTACTTCGTTACTTTTGCTAAAGACACTGAAGTTCGTTCCTTTACTCTGAAACTAGGCTAAAACAGTCTTTAGGTAGAATATTAATTGCTTGAAATATGTTCCAGCTACCGATCCGACCTTTTGAACGTTACGTAGTCATATCTGCATTTCTGAGCACCTAATGAATGGCTGAAAATAATTAGGTGAGGAAGAGTTATGAATATAGGAACCACTGCTTGTGGTTCTACCTCAACCAGATTTCTTTAAGAAGGAAACTTCGTAAATTATCTGACACTGTAAATAATAACGGAATATAAAGCCCTGATAATAGACTGCCAAAATATCACTTCGCTTCCCATTCATCACACATCAAAGTGAGAAACTGAATAGTCCTTCTGTATCTATAAGAGTACTAAAAGTTCAAATACTTTGAATAATAAAGCGTAAGCTGTTTGGTGTGACCTGGGTAAAAACAACTACATTTGCCTTATTCATGACATTTGAAGAAAGTTTCCTTCACACGTGTGGTCAAATTTGCCCCTCAATGCATTCTAAAATATCTTATTTGCGCATTCTGGTCACTGTCGGTGAAATTCGCGTCAACTTGTAGAGTTGTAGAGCTGATTCTCGATGACAGCACCTGGTCTAGAATTCCACGAGACTAAGAAGGTTTACCTTCCTTTTTCGTTTCTTATCTGCAGACTAATTACTAATCTAGGAAAGCAAACACGCTAGGAGATAAAGTTATAAACGTTAAAGACACTGCATGCAGACAATAGGTAGCCCCGTTTAACTTGCCCTCTACAGTGCTTTCGAAAATAAGATTTCATGGACACCATAAGTCTTCTACAGTATTATGAGCCATCGGTCGGTAATTTTGAACCAATATTTTGATGGAGAAGTCGGTTTCTAGACCCCTCCTCCGACATATCGAATGCCATTCGAAGTTATCAACTCCGGTATCGCACAACTCCATTATAAATGCAGGGGATCAGAGACGACTTCAGAAGTAAGGACGTTGGAAGCTCAACACAATTTACGCAGCAGAGCAGAGCATATAAAATATTAAGTAGACAGTTTATATCCAGTTAGTTAAGGTAAATTATGACGACTTAGCTAGGTGAGGCAATAGACGAGCAGAGTGAACGCCGCCAATCATACCGGTTCTAAGGACACGAGGAAATATTCCTTGCTCTGTTCATGTACTTATGTCACCACACTCTAGTAGCTAAACCATACAGGTCGAACTTGGTGGAAATTGGTATCACACCTGTTTCCACAGGAAGCAAAGGTTTCACACGACAAGACTAAATGGAAGCTTTCAGGACATCATGAGACGACGAAGACTTTTTCTGGGAAAGGAGACGTCTCTCATGTCTGCAGTCTTTTTATCTGCAATTATTTTTTTATTTTGATTTACAGCTTGATTCCACACCGTATTTTCAGTACAAGTATGGAATTTTCAGCATGGATATCGGTAGCCCAAATTTTGCAGGCCGACCATAGATATCGGGTGTGCGCCGGCAGGGGATCGAACCTCGGACCATGTACATGATCGGCGAGAGTCCTAACCACTGTGCCACCGACGCAAAGGTGAATCTGCATTCGAATGCTATTTTTACAGATGAAATGTGCAATACGGATGTGAAAAAAGTACCGAGACTAAATTATAAGTTTATGTGAAATGAGCATGCTCATATTTCTGGTACATGTGTCGATAATATCTTCCCGACACAGTCTGGTGCAGTGCTTCATCAGAAAACACAGATCGTACACCATAAAATGTGGCCGAAAACGTTGAAGAATCTCCACTCTGACTTGACTGAATGCATCACATTTAAGGCGTTTAGTTGGTTTATCTTACATATATTACTACTATTTTTCCCTCTCACTATGTCACTGACTAGATATTACGAAGTTGGCTCTGAGGATTCTTCGCAGATGAAAGGTCTGTCACTGATATAATAGTGACAATCTACTTTACCCCAAAAACAGTGCTTATAATACAGCATGAAATTCGCAGGATTTGTCACAACATGGCATCTAATTTACTCTAATTATAAATAAAAGCAACTACAGGAATTCGAAGATATGCAAAGTACAAAATGAAAATAGTAACTCTAATAAGAATAATAGTGGGTTTGCTTCAAGCAATATTGTCGATACAGTATAGAAATTTTAGCATTTTATACAGTATTGAATCTAATGTTCTTTTGACATAGCATGGCGAATGGAAAAACAAAATTTATATTTAGCACAAAGCTTAAATTATTTACACTTATGTGAAAATAAACATGGAAAACTTAAGATGGTTATAAATATGAGAAGAATAATAACAGTAAATCTTGATGTTACTAGAGTGGAGGAAATTGTTTATTTATTGATAGTAATAAGGTTAGTTAATTCATGCCTGATACTATTTTCATCACATACAATACGTGTCAATCATGACATCATGGAATTTTTATACTTATAAGCGGGTGCATAAAGTCTTTTGAATAGGCTTCTAGTTTAGCCTAAGGAGATGCAAGGTGGAAGCTGCTGGTAAAGTAGATGCCCACAGGCTGACAAAATCCCTTTAGCAAATTTGTTGTATGAAATCAAGTGCCTATCAATGACGATTTCAACGATATGACATAATGGGATATTATTCGCCATACTGACAGTCTTCAGAGTTCTACGAAGTACAGCAACCCAGAAAAGAATAAGGGTGAACAAAAGGGAGAAAAGGTAAGATGCAAGAGTTGAGGGGTCGAGTTCTGCTCGAGTGCCCTAACTTCTTAGCGTGAAATGCAATTCCACATGAATGCCTCGCTCCTCTCATCTGTATAAGGAAATTGGCAACACAGGAACCCCTTCACAACACTCTCTGTATTAAGTCCATTAAGGGAAATGAGTTGACTTGTGAACTGTAAGTTCTTACAGCAATACGGTTGACATGGAGATCTCATTGTGAAATCAAAAGTGTATATGTTTTACTAAATCTTGTGCACTTCGTGTATGAAGTTGACGCTCGTCAACTGGTCATTTAACAATTGTGGAATGTTGAAACCAAGCCAAAACTATAACTCGTAATTCTAAAAATTGTTGTCATTTTCATTGGCAGCAGTTCACAATCCATTGAGTTTACAAAACCACAACACCCATTTCTCACTTAACTGAGGAAACACTAAAGAAGTTTTTTGAAAAAGTAGTGCGTCAGTTTGTGAATTTTACAAATTTCGCGAATTGCATTCTATTCACTTAATACTGAAACTAAACGATGAGGGAACTCATATTTCCAGGCAGGATGTAATACTGTAACAACAGAAGACAAAGGCCAGGCAACAGAACGTTTATTACGGAAAATCAACACATATTTATAGATTTTGATGTACATTATTGTAGGTTAATGTTAGTAGAAAATACAGTCTGTTGATTGGTTGTTTCTCACACAAAGTTAACCTTGCATCTCTTGTGGCTGTGTCAGTTCATCTATATGTTAACTGTATCTGCCTGTCCATCTTGACCTTTGACCTTAATTACTGTCAACCAATTCGGCTAGCAACCATCTCTCACCACAAGACAAGGCTCATTTCAATAACTGTCATCCTTATTGTATTTAAGTTTCATCATGCATATATTAACAGAATTGTCTCTCATTGACTTTAGGGACTTGCCAGGGAACAGTCTTATCAACTTAGAGTATGCTGATGATATTGTCCATCCAGGTTGTGAGAAGTGACCATTGAATATGAGAGATATGAAAATACTAGTAGTGTTTGGTAGCAGGTGTCTGTGCCATATCTCCTGTGTTAAGTAGTTTAGTATGGTGACTAATAATGGAGTTGAACGTATGGTGATGACTCCAAGTCATCGCCAATGAGACAGATGCATTCACTTCGTGTGACCTAACCTATCTAATCAACCCTTATATTTCAATCTTATCACTATCAGTTCTCCCTCATATTTATACTCATTAAATTGCCATTTAGTTTCTTTTTTCTCTATATTCGTGTGCTACATGGAATGTGGTAAATTGAACAGGTGCACCTGTGTGCAAGCTTCTATGTTGAAAGTCAGTTAGAATGATATATAGTCTAGGTATAACGAAATGTTAAAAAGTGGATAATAATCACCGAAATGTCGACAAATGATAATTGAAAAAAAGGGTTATCTTACAATAATTTCTCCTCTTACCTGAGATAACTTTTACACTCTCTTTCGTTATATCTCATGAGTTAGTTTATTTTATCCCATAGCCTAAATGCTAGGTCGAAATACATCTGATGGAATATTTTTTGCTTATTACCAACTAAGTATAATATTTTCAAGTGTGGAATGTAACAAATCGAACTGCTGCACTTCTGTGCTGAGTTCTATGTTAAAGCTCAGTCAGTCAGCTTCGTCTCTGCAGCTGCCTAGTGTCACAACTCACTCCAGTGTTAATTGGCTTGAATAGTTATTATTGCCGTTTCCTAAGTATTGTATGCATTTCCCCAATCCCTTAAATTGTCCAGCTAAAGCGCACCGAAGAAGAAACCATGAACTAGAAGTCGGCAACTAGGACATAAGAAGTAGTTTGAGTAGGAGTGAAAGAAATGAGTGATTTTTTATCCCTGTAGTACGCTTATCTAAAATACTTATCTTATGCACTACGTGCATCCTAATTGTTTCATTTTGTCTTCCGCATTGCGGGTTGTCAGTCAGTCTTCGTCAGCATTCTAGTAGATGTCGCCATACAGTGTCTGCAGGCAGTCTTTCAATACATCCATCTCCCACAAAGTTGTTGGTAAGAAGCCCTGGGATTATTCACTTCTGGCCGTAGTACAATTAGTATGCGTCTATAACTCATGCAACGACAGGCAAGACTTGTGCATGTTGCTGTGAAGCTTGCCTGTAATAACACTCTCTACACAGTAAATACAATGCTTGTGATAACAATTCGTCATTACCTTTTT